AGGGGACTGAGACGCACTGGAGCGAGTGGGCGAGGGGACTGAGATGCACTGGAGCGAGTGGGCAAGGGGCTGAGATGCACTGGAGCGAGTGGACTGAGACGCACTGGAGAGAGTGGGCGAGGGGCTGGGATGCACTGGAGCGAGTGGGCGAGGGGACCAACTTCTGTTTGAGCCTCTCCAGGCACTGAGCCTGATATTGAGAATCCCATGTAGGGCAATGACAGCCCCACCTTGCCTCTTTGCACCACAACAGTGTCAGCTGAATGAGAGACAGGAATAAAAGGCAACTGAAAGATGAGAACATTGTTTTCCAATAAGATGTCTGTCCTTACCCGGAATCCTGAGCCTCATGTGCACGGATTACTGACAACAAGTTGTTGTGCTGTAAAAAGCGACAAACTGCAGCATAACTGGAAAGGAGAAGAAAATTGTGTCAGCATGAAAATATTGCTCAGCCACCCGGAACCCTCACTTCCTTCGCAGGACATTCAAACCCATAAGAAAATCCATATTTCCCTTGGCAGCAGTGGAAAAAAAAGAAGCAAGCCCTTTTTATCGTGGTGCAGAAGAGAGTGTGATAAGGATCATGTGCAGACAAGAGGAAGGAAAATAGGCTGCACGTACAGAACAATGTAACGAGTTTGGTCACAAGCCCACGGTCAGAATCCAAACTGGAACACCACTACTATCTAGTTTCACACACTTCCACATCCCCATCCTATCTAATTAACTAACAGTGCAGCTTAAAAGGCTCAGAAACCACCACACTTGGGGGCAGTGGCGAACTGATTCCTTTTTATTGTCACTTACCATGGGTCAAAAATTTTAAATCATGTTGGTTTTCAACAGTATCGGGTCTGACATTAGAAACAAGTCAGCCAGATTTGTATAGCCAACAAAGAATGACGCGTTTAGGAAAAAGAGAAGTTCCACGTACAAACATGTACGAATTATTGACAATCATCTCACAACACAAACTTAACATGTTGCAAATATGGCTAACAGACAAGCTATGATCAAACACCCCACAACACAAGGCAGATCTCACATGGAGCTTCCCAAACCCCCACCCCGGCCAGATGTTAGTGACACAGTGAGTCACCAGATTGCATTAAACTTCACAAAGGATGACAATGACCTGACCTAGAAACTCCTTCAAGAGCTGCTCCATCACTTACTGGCTGCTCACATCTTAGGTGCTTCCCCTTCCTTTCTAGGGACTGTGTGTCCCTGGATTCTTGCAAGCTCCACTCCAGCATTTACTCACAGGAATAAATCCAGCTTTTCACAAACAGTGCGCTTCACCAAGTAAATATTGGCTCCTGATTGTTTCTTGAGTTCTAACCTGTTTCTTATCTGGCTTCCTCTCCAACTGACTACAGCCTGAGAATTGTTTTTCATTGGCCGCCCCCCCGCCCCAACTATTTTGAGTGACCACATGAAAACCATTCAACAAGCTCTGCTCCTGGTCCTCAGCAGTGTTGAATGCAACTAATATTTTGGAACAGTAATTTGGAAATGTAGCAACCAGCAATCAGATTTGAATGCAATAATCCCATGGAATTCTCTGTTCCCTGGCTGACTCTGACCAGACTGAACTCTCAGGCCAGCAGCTGGGAGCAACACAACAGTCAATGCCCAAGAGGAAGATCAGCCATTTTCCTTCTCCTAACCCATGCGGATTTAACATGAGGAAACAATCTGAATGAGGTCTTCCAAAGTTGAACAGCTTGCACACAATATGCTGCCAGTGAAACAAAGATAACCTAGTTAAGTATACATCTTGGTCATCTCTATACGCACTGATCCCCTGATCATATTACAAAGAATCATCCTTGCATGCTCCCTAACTCAGTGCCTCCCCAATCTATTTCAAATGTAACTAAATTTCAAGCATGAGAAATTGACATCCCCAAAGTTTGTGTCTGGTTGGGGTAAAATGGGAAGGGAATGCTGTTTTACTGGCAAATACAGGCTTTTAAGGTAATTAAGAAAGTGTATAGGACAGGTGCCTTTATCAGATGTGGTACAGATTATAAGAGTAGGAAGGTTATGTTGGAGCTGTATTAAATTTTTGTTAAGTCACAGCTAGAGTACTGTGTGCTCTTCTGGTCTCTCCACTGTAGGGAGGATGTGATTGCACTGGAGGGGTTACAGAGGAGATTCACCAGGACATTGCCTGGAATGGAGCATTTCAGTTTTGAAGACAGGCTGGATCAGCTTGGATTGGTTTCTTTTGAGCAGAGAAGACCAAGTGATGTTCTGATAGAGGTGTATAAGATTATGAGGGCCATGGGCAGGTTGGATAGCAAGCAGCTGTTCCCCTTATTTGAAAGGTCGCTAACAATGCAATATAATTTTAAGGCAAATGGGAAGGAGGTTTAGAGGGGATTTGAGGAAAAATATTTTCACCCAAAGGATAGTGGGAGTTAGAATACACAGCCTGGGAGTAAAATTGAGGCTGGAAATCTCAGAGGGTTTAAAAAGAAACTGGATGAGCACTTGAAATGTCATAGCATTCAAGGCTATGAGCCAAGTGCTGGAAAGTAGCACTACAGTAGATTTAGGGTATTTTTTTATCAGTGAAGACTTGATTGACTGAAGGACTTCTTCCATACCATATGATTCTGCTGCAGGAGTATAATCAGCTGGGGCCTGAATTAAAAAGCAGGACCACAAAGCGAGTGCATTCTGGATTATTAATTGAGTCATGAGCAAATTAACAGAGGGCAAATACGATTAGCGATTTTCATGCCTCACTTCAAGATGGGGCTGGGACAAACAGGTTTCCATTCATGGGGCACTTGCTTCTGGACAAACCAAGTGGGACAGGAAGAAACAGAAATATCTACACTGACAGAGCATCAAACAGTATAGTCCACACAGGGAACTGTGGCAGAAAAAAGCACTTTTTATTAATGGACTCCTGCCTCAAGGGAGAAGAGGAAGGTCAATGACAGTTCACCAGATGATTCAATCCTGTCCTATGAGACAGGGATTAAGGTGGGTTGGGAGTTGTGTACAGGCTTCCTAGCAGCAGTCAGGATGTGGGGAAGGAAACGAATCAGGAGCTAGAAAAGGCATGTAAGAAAGGCACAATTACAATAATCATGGGGGACTTCAACATGCAGGTGGACTGGGAAAACCAGATTGGTCTCAAGAAAATGAGTGCAATGTCTGCGGATTGTGATAGAGCCCACTAGGGAACTGGCAGTTTTGGATTTGGTGACGTGCTACAAGGCAGACTTGATTCAGGAGCTTAAGGTGAAGGAACCCCTAGGGGGCAGTGACCGAAATATGCTAAACTGCACAGTGAATTCTGAGAGGGAGAAGCTGGAATCAGATATAACAGTACTACAACTGAGTAAAGGTAACTAGAAAGACATGAGGGAGGAGCTGGCCACAGTTGATTTGAAGACGGTAGAGCAGCAATGAAAGGTGTTTCTGGGGCTCATTCAGGAGGCACAGCAGAAATTCATCCCAAGGAAGAAGAAGCATACTAAGGGAAGGACAATGCAACCATGGCTGACAGGAGAAGTCAGGGACTGCATTAAAACAAAAGAGATAGCAATTTGGTGAAGATTATCGGGAAGCCAGAGTATTGGGAAGCCTTTAGAAACTGACAGAGGCTAACTAAAAAAGCAATAAGGGAGAAGATGATGAAATATGAGAGTAAGTTGGTGATAATATAAAACAGTGGACATGGAGAGACTAGGACCTGACGGCACAGCCTCAGAATGAAGGGATGACCCTTTAGAACTGAGATGAGGAGCAATCTCTTCAGTCAGAGGGTGGTTAATCTTTGGAACTCATTGACACAGAAGGTTGTGGAAGCCAAGTCATTGAGTGTATTTAAGACAGAGATAGACAGGTTCTTGATCGGTGAAGGATCAAGGGTTACAGGGAGCAGGAAAGAGAATGGGATTGAGAAACATATTACCCGTCATCGAATGATGAAATGATTTGACGGGCCAAATGGCCTAATTCTGCTCCTGTACCTTATTATGGGACACACCAGCCTTCACAACATCAGCGTTTGCACACGTGCCCTAACACAAACCTAAAGAAGTAGGAGCAGCCTCGTACAGTATTATGACTGAAGTGATCTGGTGTCTTTTCGTTGCCGTAATCCTCTGTTGGGTCTGACCACAGCAAGTCACACATAGGCCCAAAGGCTGGTGGCTCTTTAAATCTGTCTAACTGAAAGACATGAGACAAGACGTTAAAACAAAGCAAAAAAAAGTACATTGCTAGAAGGCATTTCACAACCTCAGGGCACCAGAAAACTGAGAACAGTTAATAAAACTGTCATCTGAGATCCAGTTATTGCTTTAAGATCAGAAACTCGGGACCCAATTTATGTACGGCAAGATCTTACAAACTGGGACAGAAGGCAGGAAGGCAATAGGGACTGGAATATGGAGGACCAATACCTGCAGAATAGAGATCAGATACAACAGCAGCTTGCTCAGTGGTAGCAGAGCAGGGACAGAAGAATAGTTCACCAACATGAACAGGTCTGTCAATCCACCTAGGCATCTGTGACTACCTATCCCAGCTGAAGGACGGATCATACTTACTCTCCTGATGTCATCTAGAGTGTGCACATCGGGTGAGAGGCCCCCGTGCAGACACAGGAACTGACGATTAACTATTGCAGCCAAGGGGAGACAGTCAAACGCACCCATGCAGGCGTTGTAGAGATGGTCCGAGTACTTGATCCTGCCTGGGGAGGACAACAACAATTAAACAAAACAACCACTTAACAAGCACACTGATGGGCTTTCCCCATTCCCTCCACAAACTATCCCTCAAACTACTCTCAGCTTTCAGCTGGTATGTGCGTTAAACAGGGTTAAACAAATTCACTGGTATAAGCTTAAGACGTTCTCCAAGAATATAGTCACGATGCTTCAAGCAAGTGAAGTGCAGTCACCTGCTGTCATGTAGGAAATCTGGCAGCCAATGTATACACAGCAAGGTGCCACTAACAGCAGTGAGTTACACACAACGTGCAGCTGGCTTGTTGTTATATCAGCATATTGGCCAGAAATATCCTGAACCTGTTTCATGGGCTATGATCTCAGTTACTGTACAAGAAAAATCCCAGAACAATATCAAGCTTGATAGATTGTTTTTCTTTTGAAAAGCTAGTTAATATGATGGTCAGTTACTGAAGCAGTCACATAGTCTGCAGAGTTTCTTTAACAACAGAAGTTTATTATACAGAAGACAAAAACAGAAAAAAATCAAACAGAGCTCGAGATATAGATGACAGTTTAGGAATATCTTGAAACATAGAACAAAACAGTTTTCAACTGTTTTCCCCAACACTATCACTTTAAAGATTCAAATCCAGAGAAATTATCTCTCCGTATCAAAACTTTATGTTTGTCTTAACGAAGAGCTTAGACCTTCTCAGCCTTAAATAACCGGCAGATTTCCTACGAAACTCTTCCCATTTTGAAGTTGCACAAACTAAAACTTTCTACTTATTCCTTTAACTTTTCTGATAAACTTCTCTCCAGAAGAGAAAGTGCACTTGATTCAGGCCCAAGTCAGGTCACCCCAAACTGCCCTAAAAACTTTCAGTACCTGGGTTTCCCAACTGAAAGTCAAACCTAGATTATTCTGAACTTATCAGTGATTCATACAATCCCTATACAATGGAAGCAGGCGATTCGGCCCATCCAGTCAACACCGGCCCTCTAAACAACATCTCACCCAGATCTCCCACCCAAACACCCTGAAATTCCAACAGCTAACAAACCCAGCCTGCACATTCCTCGTCACTATGGGGCAATTTCCCATGGCCAATCCACCTCACCTGCACATCTTTTGACTGTAGAAGGAAATCATAACACCTGTAGGCACAGGGAGAACATACAAACTCTGTACTGTCACCCGAGGGGTGGAATCAAACCTGGATCCCTGGCACTGTGTGGCAGCAGTGCTAACCACTGAACCACTGTACCACCCTTATGGCTGACAATATTTACTCTTTCTGTCACAAACTATCACAGTAATATCAACTTATGTCATAAGCATTCCAAGGGTTCACAATTTCCTGCTTTCCGATACATAGCGGATGAGGTCATTTGCACTGTTTGCTCAAGACTGCAGGCCAAATGCACTAAAACAGCAATTAACTATTACCCTGACCCTTAAATCCTCCCCGACTTCCTCCCACAGTTCTCAATCAATGTCCAATACCACTGCTTCAAAACTCTGCTGTCTACATTCAAACTGACATTATGCCTCAGTCCCCATCAGCCCAGTGCTTGCAGATTGACACATGCTCCTGATCTGGCAATGGCTCCATTTACAAAATTGTACTCCTTTTCAAATTCCTCCATTATCCCACCACCCTCCCTATTTTTATAAACCACAACAAGATCTATGCTGTCATTCATTTCCAGCCTCTTGCTCAATCGCTCAGGTTAAATACTCCAGAGCTGCCTTCAGTGCTGGGCCTCACACTGAGCTTCTCTCCACCAAACTCTGGACTCTCCGTGAAGATCTCCTTTGCAGCAAGCTCTCTGGGTAAGCTGTAAAGGAGATCCAGTAAGGTTTCACTCCAGGTCCTGACTTGTCCAGTGTGACCATTGGCTGGATAATAACACATAGCATTCTGTAAGCAGCTGACATTAAGTCACAATCACTTCTGTCCTAAAGTGTAAGATAACAATTCTCTGGCTTCACTGCCTGCGAGCTCATTTATAACGTCTTGGCAAGGACAGAATACCAGCCTTTGGAAGTCAAAGGGTTCCCCATACCAGCTGCTACAGGTTACTGTCAATAACCTATCTCAGTAAAAGCCTATGCCCAGCTGGAACTGAAGATGAACTGCAACTTCAAGTTATTCACAGAAACTGCATTTGTCCAGCTCCTCCCTAACTTGGAGACTGGTGAATGGAATGGGCCCAGTCCTAGGCCCTGAATCTTCTGATTACAGGGCCTGGGCTAACACAGGGTTGTTGAGTCATGTGCCAAAGGGTTACACTAGATTCTTAGCAAGAAGAAACAGATCGAATGCAACTCCAGTGATCCTTTTACATCAGAACACGGAGTCCTTCTAAGACAATGGTGGGTTGAAGGGCAAAGCCTGAAATAACTGCACGGTAACTTTTGGCCAACTCCATTATCACACCAATATAAAAACCCGCTGAGCTTTCTGTCACTCTTTGACAGGACATAAGAGGAGAGAACATTGTCAGAAACCTGTGAAGGAATCTGGTCTGACAGGGTTTGGTTTTAGTTAATGTAAGAGTAGGAGAGTTCTTCCCAAAATCTTTATTCGAACATACACCTCTCCACCAATATCATGAAGAAAAGATGATTATCTGATTTCTTCCACTGCTGTATGTGAGATTTTACAATGTATGAATAGACTGCCATTATCGCTACATTGCAACAACAATGGCTGCAATGCAACTCTTCCTTCATTGGAGGTCAACAGCTTCCACTGTTTCTGAGCTCACAAAAGACACTAAGTATGTATCTTAATTGGACTTCCAGGCATGTGGGAAAGCACTGTCCTCATAGGCACCAGCATAGGTGCAGGGTTCAGCTGCAGAATAAGATGTCAATTGTCACAAACTCAAAGAGTAGGGGGTGCCGACTACATTGCAAACAAGACACCATGATGATGAAAAACACAAGCAATCAGCTGTCATGCATTGACAGCCTAAATTCAGAAAGTCAGTTATCAGGATTAATCCTCAAGGATTATCTGTGTAATGAGCCATTAAAAAGCAGACAGCACTGACACAAAAGCAGATGATACTTTAATTCCCTACTAGGGCATTTACTAATAAACTGTGAATTCTAAAAAGCCTGTGACAACCAGTGACAGGAATAAAGGAAACGTGTTGAAAGCAGTGACAGTTCAAAGACAATAAGCACACTGTAAATAGAGACGCAGGCAGACTGCAAGAAGGTGCCAGTCTGAGGAAAAGATTGGGGAAATGAGGAAGCCAAGAGGAAAAACAAGGGGAGCAGTCCTTTATGAACAGCTGAGAATGCGGAGATCAACTTGATCCAAATCAAGCCCTCAAGGCTTCCAGGTCAGAGGGCTGCAAGCTGAGGTTTTGGATCAAGGAACAGAGAGTGGGAAGGTGGGGGGTCCAGGTCAGAGGATGACAGCGGGGGTTCTGGGTCAGGAGGATGTGGGCCAATTAGCCTGGTCAGAGTTTGCTTGCAGGTTATACTCACATTCCTGCTTGAAGGTAAAATATTCAGTGAGATGTCTACATTCGTGATTCCCCCGTAGCAGAAACATCGTACTAGTATGGTGAATCTTCAGAACCCAGAGCATCAGCACACACTGCAGGGAAGAAATCTTTAATAAGTGAAGCAGAGACAGGCAAACTAAGCACTTGCCTAGACTAGCACCACAGTCAACCTAAAAGATGCCAGTGAAGAGCAAGGAGGAAGCTCCCTAACATTGTCACTCAGTAACCCCTTTCCCCCCCAAGAGCCCAATGTTACTGACTGTATCCCTACTGATGTTAATCCCGCTCCCTCACACTGTCACTCAGTAACCCCTCTCCCCTCCAGCGCCCTGTGTTACAGACTGTATCCCTACTGATGTTAATCCCTCTCCCTCACACTGTCACTCAGTAATCCCTCTCCCTCCACAGCACCCTGTGTTACTGACTGTATTCCTACTGATGTTAATCGTTCTCCCTCACACCGTCACTCAGTAACCCCTCTCCACTAAACTCACTGCTTTATGCTCTATGTAGTCATTATCTTGGTCCGATTTAGGCACAACACTGGCTACATATTTGGACTCTCATTAGTGACGCTGAAGATTCAGCACAAATTTCTTGAGGTCATTGGAGGCATTAGCCAAAAACATTGAAAATAGGAACAAGAAATAGCCGTACTGCTCTTTGAGACTGCTCTGTCATTTAATATGATCAGGGTTGACCACCCTACTTGGCACCCTTCTCCCATCGACTCCACATATCCTTTGGACCTTTTAGCCCTAAGAACTTAAGTCTACTATCAAACTTCTTCTTGAAATCATTTAATGTTCTGGCTTCTCAACTGCTTTCTGTGGTAGCGAATTCCACAGACTCACTAGTCTCTGGGAGAAAAAATTTCTCCTCATCTCAGTCCTAAATGACCCATCCTCTATCCTTCAAGTGTGACCCCAGGTTCTGGACTCCCTGATTATCAGAAACATCCCTCCTGTGTTTACCCTGTCTATTCCTGTTAGAATCATATCAGTTTCTATGAGATCTCCCCTCACTCTTTTAAATTCCAGTGAATACAATTCAAACCAATCCGGCCTCTGTACATTTGCTCCTGGTCAGTGATGTGGGCAGCAATACATTCCTGCATTTCTGTCGGCCACGCAGTTTCACACAACATGCAGAGTCCCCTCAACAAATGGAGAGTGAGTCTGAATTTGTTTTAGCCTATTGTTAACCATCCGTCGAAGGTGAGAAATAAGCAGGCTGCCTGCACCAGAGCATTTGCACCAAGTCGGGATAGTGAGAAACCCTGTCAAGTATCGAGAGTGACTGCTCAATTCCTGAGCCATAAACTGAGACCTGTGCCAGCGCATCTTTCACTCTGGCATCCAAACAGCTCTCAAAATCTAGTCGAGTATAGAGTTTCCTTCCTGATTTGGCAGCAGGGTAAGCAACTACCAGTTTACAGATATCTCCTTCATGTATAATCTGAATAAACCTTCTCTGCTATGTAAAGCAGAAGACCCTTTCTGAAAGGCTACCCGAACTTCCACAGGATAATGAAAATGGCATAGGAGAGCACAAACCAGAAACGGGAATAAGCAATTCAGTCCCTTTAGCTGGTTCTGCCATTCAATAAAATCATGGCTGAAATTCTGGTATTTCAAATTAAAGGGCAGCACAGTGGCTCACTGATTAACACTGCTGCCTCACAGCACCAGGGACCCGGGTTCGATTCCAGCCTCAGGCGACTGTCGGTGTGGAGTTTGCACATTCTCCCCCGTGTCCGCATGGGCGTACTCTGGTTTCTTCCCACAGTCCAAATATGTGCAGGCTAGGTGGATGAACCGTAGAAAATGGTGGGGGGGGGGGGGGGGGGCAGGGAGGGGGGTGGGGTAGGGGGGCTAGGTCTGGGTGCGATGCTTTTTGGATGGTTGGCATGGACTTGATGGGCTGAATGGCCGCTTCCACACTGCAGGGATTCTATAAGATGATAAAACCCACATTCCCACAGATCCTCAACAACCACTGATTCCCTGACTAACAAGAACCTTAAATGATAAAATGATCCTGCTCCCACACCTTTTGAGGCACAGATTCCAAAGTCACACAAACCTCAAAAATGTTTCTCATCCCTGCTGAAAAAGGACAACTCTCGATTTTAAATCGGTGGCCCCAAGTTCTGGACCCACACGAGGAAGTATCCTTTCCACATCTATCTTATCAAAACCAATCAGGATCTTACACACTTCAATCAAATCACCCCTCACTCATCTGAACCCTCGTGGAAACAAGTCCAGTCTATCCAATTTTTCCTCATCTGACAGCCACTCATTCCAGGTATCAATCTAGTAAACCTCATCTGAACTGCCTCCAACACATTTATATGCTTCCTTTGACAGTAAAACCAAAAATACAGCAGGCCTGGCAGCATCTATGAAGAAAAATCAGAGTTAACTTTTTGGGTCCGGTGACCCTTCCTCAGAACTGATGGCAGCGAGGGAAATGTCAGTTTATATGCAGAAGTTAGGGTGGGGTGGGGGGGTTGGGGGGTAAAGAGTAAACAATAGGTGGGAATAGAGCCTAAAGGGAGAGAAGAGCAATTGGATAGACAAAGGTTAGAGACAAAAAAACTGCAGATGCTGCAATCCAAGGTAGACAAAAAGGAGGCTGGAAGAACACAGCAGGCCAGGCAGCATCTGGAGGAAAGGAGACATCAACGTTTTGGGTATTACCCTTCTCCAGGACTGGACATGGGGGTAGGGGGAGCTGCAGATAAAGAAGGGGGGAGAGGGGTAGCGGAATGGTGGTGATAGGTATGACCTAGTTGGGCAATGGGAGGGATGAATCCGGTTGGTAGCTGGAAGGAGTGTCAGAAGGTGGAATGGAAGGGAGAAGGTGAGGCTGGAAGGGGAGCCGGGGGATGGTTGGGAAGGTTATTTGAAATTAGAGAACTCAATGTTGAGTCCTCCAGGCTGCAGGATGCCCAGGCAGAAGGTGTTGTTTTTCAAATTTGCGTTCTGAATCGCTGCAACACTGGAGGAGGCCAAGGATGGACATGTCGGAGGAGGAGTTGGGACGGGGAGTTGAAATGGACGATGACGGGGAAGTTAGGCTAGCTGTTATGGGCCAGGCGAAGGTGCACAGCAAAACGGTCACCTAGTCTATGTTTGGTCTCACCGATGTAGAGAAGACCACATTGGGAGCACTGGATGCAGGAGACTAGGTTGGAGGGGGTGGGTTTGGAGTGGTTGGTGGGGAGTGTGACGTGAACTAAGGAGTGCCGAAGGGAATGGTCCTTGTGGAAGGCAGAGAGGGGTAGGAAGTGGAAGATGTTCCGGGTGGGTCTAATTGGAGTTGGAGACATATAGACAAAGGTGTTGATAACGATCTGGCTAGGAGGGTGAATAACTATTAATGGGGACTGTTAGTGACTAACAAGCCCTTCTTTTGGCTCTATACCCACCTATTGTTTACTCTTTATCCTCTCCCCCCACCCTATCTTCTGCATACAAACCAACATTTTCCCAGCTACCATTAGTTGTGAGGAAGAGTCACTAATTTTTCCTCACAGACGCTGCCAGAGCTTTTTCTGCAACTTCTGTTTTTGTTTCTAATTTACAGCATCCGCAGTTCTTTTGGGTATTAAATCAGAAATACACACAGTGCTGAAGATGTGGCCTTATCAATGCCCAGTGTAACTGAAGCAAAGCATCCTTACTTCTATGTTCAATTTCCTGTTAACCTTTTGAATTACTGATGGCCCCAACATACTAACCTTTTGTGACTCATGCACAAGAGCATGGAGGTTCCTTGGCACCTCTCTCTTTACATAGTACTCCGCATTTTTTATTCCTGCCATATCACACTTACCCACATTATACTTTGCCCACCAGGATTTTGGTCTCTAACTTCAGCTTTTTAAATCAACCAGATTCCCTGTTATGTCCACTTTACAACACTTTCCTACCTTGTGCCACACACACACTGAGTGTGAATACAAGAGGCTCTGTACACACTATGTGCAGCTCACTTGATCAGTACCTTAACATCCCCCACCAATGCTGAGTAGTAGTGGAGCAGGCTAGAACGGTTGAATGGCCTACTACTGCTCCTGATTTGAATGTTCATTCCTGGCACCACTGTAACCCTAATATCGATTGCCCATGCTTAGCTGCTGAACTGCAGCAATTTGGTTCAGGAGACAGGATTTCTCATTCTCACCAGAGGGCAGTTCGAGTTAGTGTGTGTATGGAGACACATGAAGGCCAGCCTGAGAAAAGGAGACCAGGTCCCTTTCCTTAAAGGGTTAACAAATCAGTTGGCTTTTCAGGACATCAAGAATTTTTTAAAACCATGAGGCTCACCAGTTTTGGTTAGATATTGCCATGGGTGAATTTCAGCATCTTACTGAATGCCAGTCATGTAGGGAGTTGGCACTATTAAAAGTACACACCAGGTCAGTCAGAACGTGCAACAGATTCATGCACGAGATCTAATGGGTGAACTCTCCAACCTTCCGACTTTAAATTGCTTGTCCTTGAAGTGCTCAACAGATAGTCAGTGACAGGTTGTTGACGAGTGATAGGTCATTCACGAATGAGAACAAGCCAGCTCGGCGAGCAAGTCAACAACTTCACCCACAACCCGAGCTACAAATCTTTGCCAAAACTTTAAACAGTCAGTGATAGCTAGACTGCGGAACAATCAGCTGAACCATGCTCCAATTCAGATGTTCTGTTTTAAGGGCAAGATCAATCACTGTTCTGGCTATGAACAGCAAGGTCAATGGTTCCTTGGTCATTCAGACATGGAGAAAGTTACATCGCAACTCACCTCAACACTGAAGTAGCCACGATCTACGTAGTCTCCAAGGAACAGATACTGAGTGTTGCTGGGTGGGCCACCCACTTCAAATAGCTTCATCAGGTCATAGAATTGACCGTGAATGTCACCACAAACTGAAAGGAATAGAAAGAAAGAGGGCAACTTCAGTGAACCACTTCAGGGTCCAAACAACACAATGGTCCCACACTAATGGGAAGGTGGATGGGATGGAGGGGGAAACCAAGGCAGGGATTGGGGGAAAAGACAAGGAAGGGGCAGAAGCAGCCCAGACCTGTGACGGGGGCATCCACTTCGATAAGCGTCCGCTCCTTGCGAAAGATAGCAGCTCCATCCTCAATAATTTTGATGGCAGCATCTTCCTCCAGTCTCCCTTCTTTAATGAAGTGAGCCCTCAGGACATCAAGTTTGGGTTTCCCTTCCGAGTAAACGTCCTGCATGGTGAGGCGGCGGGCTGGGGGAATCGGAACAGCTGGGACATAGAGAATAACACTGAGTTCCTAGTAAATTCAACACACAACACAGCTTCACACACTCACAGAACGATGTTCAAACAAGGCCTGTGCCACCAAAGACTGTCAGCAACCAGTGAATTCTTTACACTCGGAGCAGCACACTGTCAGCATCCATACTGAGGGACAGCTGCACTGTGGAAAAGGTCAGTACTGAGGGAGTGCCACACTGTCGGAGGGTCAGTACTGAGGGAGTGCCACACTGTCGAAGCAT